GCCAGCTCCGCTTGGAACGAAGAACCGCATAGAGGCTTTGCAAGAAAAACCGGGCCAAAGGAAACGCCAAATAAAGGGAAATGGCGAGGCCGCAGAAACGGGCCAAATCCCTGGCCACAACCCGGCGGGCGGATCGCAACATGCGAGCCTGATTGGCGATCAACGCGGCCTTTTCCGGGGGAACCTCAAAACGGCCATGGGCCGTGTCCACAATCACCCCCAAATGCTTCTTGTGCGTAACGGGGGTCCATTGACATTTCCGCTCCTTGAATTGGATGCCCAGTGAGGCAAACACACCCCGAACCAACTTGGACCACTTTGTCAAATGAGCGGCATCATGCATGGCCGCCAAAAAATCATCAAGATACGCCAACAGAATGGCTGGCGGTTCACTAGTATACACGCGAAAATATGTAGCTATTGAGTCATCCCCCGCTAAGCAGCCAAAGCGGAAATGGCGAGCCGCCTTAGGGCAACTGCTAGGGGACCTTAAGAAACGCCCCACAACAAGCATGAAGTGGGTGAAAAAGAAAGGGGCCAAAGAGAGGCCAAAAGGGAGAGCTCTACAAGCAAAAACTTTGTCTCCCATTCGAAATTGGAAGAAACATTCCTCCGATTGACACACACGCAGATGATGGTAAGCATCTTTGATGTCAAATCCCACCAATGAGTCACCCCGGCAGAGTGACCGAAGTCACGTAATTTCTCGTAACGAAGGCCCACCTTGCGAAGGTGACGGTTGACCCGTCGCAGATCGATACAAAGTCGGTACTTCATGACGCCATCCTCCCGCCCTTTCTCCACGAGGAAGGCCCGAGAGATGCGCGACGTGGGGCCCGGCTGCACCTTGGTGATCGCGCCTGAAGAGAGATAGTCCGCGCGGAGAGATTGCCAGGCCGTCCGTTCCTCCGGAGAGCGAAGCGGGTAGGCGCCCTCGTCGAAAGGCGCCGGCGGTCCACGCGGGCCCCACATGAGCGGAGTCCCTGAATGGATCCATTGGAGGATGCGGGAGGGGGCGCCGATGCGACGCCACGCCGAAAGGCGTCCGCGGACTCGATTGTACGGGAAGTCCTTCATTGAGCCGGCTTGGGGGAGGGGCCCGGAGGGCGAGATCCCTTGTGGGCCTTGGGGCCAGTCGAGGGGGCCGAGGTCGACGGGGGGGAGGTAGACTTCTTGGCGGCCGCGGTCTTGGTGGCGTGCTTCAGTTCTTGCGTCAGAAGCTCCTTGCGCATGCGCTCGATGGTCCCGTCGACACGAGCGGTGCCGAATCGCAGGCCGCGGTCGGCGAGGCGGATCTCCGCTTGAATGGCCCGCCACGATCCCTCCAGGCCCGATCCCTTGTGCTTGGCGTGTATGCGCTGCAAGGAGAGCTGGTCGTGGAGAGCCTCGGTGACCTCCACGTACGAGTAAAGGTAAGGGAGGAGAAATTCCCGTACGGACGCCGGGAGATCGGGATGGGCGGCGACCTCCACGAAGGCCGCGGTCGTGTCGAACAGCCAGGAGACCGGAGGCGCCCAGCCCGCGTACTCCTGGAAGTACCCGGAGTTGGCGCCCAAAGAGGTGGCAACCGCGCTCCCTTCGGCGGTGTCGCGGACGTCGAACCAGTACGGCGAACGGGCTCCCACCGGTCGGGCTACCGGGTTGTTGACGGACTGGGGGAGGAGCGCCGGGTCGGGCAACCAGCAGGCTTCAATAGCGGAGGTCGGAATATGGTTGTTGAACTCGCGAGCTTGTTCCCGGCACCACTGCTCCGCAGGGGACGGGTTCATAGGCAAGAACTCGGCAAAGAGCCGGAGGTCGAGACCCACTCGGTGGGTCCGGGTTGTGCCAAAGGGTTGGCGCGAAGCGAAACAAGATAAGGTGGGGACCGAGGGGTGAGCCTAAGTAGCCTCCCCGCTCGCGCCCGCCAAAGCCCGCCGCTCCCAAGGGCGCCAAAAACCACTGGCCCTCCTTGAACGCCACAGACCAGCCACTGACCCAAGGTACAGGGGGACAGAAACCCCAAGGGGCCGCCAAAACCATGATACTTTAAGCAGCGCTGTCCCAAGTGGGCTAGCGCGCCCGCCCCTCGTCGCCCTGGGCGGAAACCACTTAACAAGATAGTTAATCCCATTTCTGCACGCAGCCAACGGGGATGTGGAAACCTCACATTCAATGACCACTCCCAAGGGCAGTCCGAGTCATCACCAGTCCAGCATACTCCAACACAGCTGACTCGACCTGTCGCTGTGCTGATGCGTTACACATTGCCCCTTGTTACCCCACACCTTATCCAACCCATCACGCGCGGAACTGCGCCCCAGCGCACCCGCCGAACAGCTGCCCCTTAGCGCACGGCCCCGCCACCAGGCTGTCTCGACAGGCTTGCTCGCGGGCAAACACAAAACGCGCCCCTGCCCCCAACCCCAACCCCCCTGCCCTTCCCTGCCTCCGCCTTGGATGCCCTCGCCCGCCGTGCCTGGCAACGCGAAGACAGGCGCGGTGGTGGCTGCCATCTCGAGGCTGCTGTCGTGCCCCCTGGGCTGGCTGCTGGGCACCATGTCGCCGATCATCAACGACGTCGCCACAGACCTGGAGAACCCGCCGGTGTTCACCACCGTGCAGGCGGCCGACCTGACGCCGGCCTTCAAGACGCTCATCCAGGGCCACTACCCGGACCTGCAGCCACAGGTGCGGAGACTCTCGGAAGACATTTGCGCCAATTTCTTTTTCGCGCTCCTCAAAGGTCCAAAGTTTGTCACATGCCTCCGCGCCAAAGCATGGGAGTGGCAGGGGGATTGGTAAGAGCGGTTGGCGGTGGACAGAGCGAGTCATCCAGCAGGAGACTCCGGAGGAAGCAGGTGTTGTGAGGGGGGCCTTGTCTGAAATTCACGGGAGGCAACGCGCAGCCATTCCTGACCCGGCCGACCCTGTTTGAGCCGCCGGGTGGTGTCTTAGAGCCCGCCGAGCGATCCTAAACTTCCCATGGCGATCACTTGATCGAAGGTTTTGCTGAAAGAAAGCTGAACAGCCGACGGGGCTCTTTGTAACAGGTGTTCGACTCCAAGGAGGTGTCGACGGTGTTCGAGGGCGCCGTGCGCGTGGCGCGCGCCATGCGGCGCTGGACGGTGGTCAAGGAGGACGCCGAGGCGGGCACGGTAGAGGGTTACTGCGTCACGCAGCTGATGCGCTTCAAGGACGACTGGGTTGTGCGCGTGTCCGAGCTGCGGGGCGGTGGCGCGGTGGTGGACATGCGGTCGCGGAGCAGGATGGGCAAGGGCGACGGGTAGGATACGGACGTTCCTTGCGGCGCTGAAGACGGAGGTGGAGTGAGCTGCTTGCGCAGTGTGTGTTGGCAACCATAATGGGCAATTGGCCCTTTGGGACAGGCAGACGACTTCGAAGGGCAGCGTGGTGGGCTCTTTGGATGGGGAAGCTGTTTCTTGCGGTGCAAAAGGTGTTTTGGCGTTGCCTGAGGGGCGTTTTTGCATACGTTGGGCGAGCCAGGCGGCGGAATGTTTGTGCGTGAGGAGTGAGGGCCGGTGTGCGGTGCACTTGGCGTGGGATGGAAGAAAGGAGAGCGGGGGAGGGTCGGCGGGGTGGTCGGGGTTCGGTCTGGTGGAGGGACGGCGATGGGCGTCGCTGCCACGCGGTTCGGATGGGCTGTGGCTGCGCGACCGTGAGTGTGGGCGAAACGGCCCGACCTGTTGGAGGGGATGCGGCGTCGGAAGTGCAGGCCGCGGGATTGGCGCTGATTGTTGCAAGTGTGCGGCAAGGAGCAGACGAACTCCGCGTCTGTGTAAAAGCGAGGTCACGTCCGACGGGTGAGGGCGACGTGAAGCGGCGCATTCGAGGGGGCTGTGCCTGAGTAGAGCCACGAGACTGTAAGCAATGACGCTCCCGCCGGAATGGGCATGGGAAGGCGAAGGGCGAGCCGCCAAGGAGTAATGGAAGGGAAGGAAGGCGTTTTGAGTAGCGGCCAGTCAGTGTGGCTGTTTGCGTTCTTTCGTTCTCCCATCGTTGGCCTGTTTTCGTATGGGAAGGATGTACTCGGACAGCCAAGGCAGCCAGGGCGAGTTTTCTTGTTTTGGTTTCTTGTTTTGGGGTGGGGCAACTGCTGGGTCGTTTGTTGTGTTGGCCGCAACAATATTGCACTTTGAAGGCCGCCATCGGCTTCAGGTAGAACGTAGAATTGGAGGGTGGGACTGTGAGCTGGAAGTTGTGGGATGTTGTACAATGGACAGAGCTGGAATTGAGGTCAGCATTTAAAATTGGATTGTGAATCTAACTGAGCCATCTCCTTGGGGCACGGCAGCTCATTTGCAGCGATGAGGCCACTGCAGGTCCCAAGCCCAGTGGATGGCGCCAAGATGATCCAGAATGTGGCATGGGATGGGAGGCAAGAGCCAAAATGGCAGCCGCTGCAAAGGGCCCTCTGGTTCATCATTGACTGTTGCCATCTTGTCTATGGGGCCCACCTTCGTTTGATGTAGAATAACTGCCAATCGACGCTGTTGTTATTGCTGCTGCCATTCAACAAGTCAAAATTACATGGGGTACTCACCATGCCAGCAAAACTCAAATTGGGTTAGAACCCATAACCCATATGGTGGCAATGTTGACCAGGAGAAATGAGTGCGATCATATTCTGAAGCGATCGACAGAGGGATTCATAAATAGGCATAGTCAAAGAGCACCGTCCTTTGCTTTCTGAATGCCTTATATCCAACATCCTGTTTTAGAATACAAAAGCCCCTATTGGCAGGGGTCCCATCTCTCAACTGCACTTTCTATCAAGTCCCCCCCCGTTGTCACTACAGCGATCTACACCAGCCACCCCGTGGAATCTAATCTGTCCACCACACGCCCCGCCCCTCCACCACCTGTGCCAAAAGTTAGTGGTCCACTCCAGCCCAGTTTCGCACCAGTGTCTTGTTTTAAAGTACATTAAGCACAGGCACACCATCTTGGCACGCTGAATTATTACCCTTCAGACAGAAGACTCCTGGCCTCCATTATTGCTTGCACCACCGGCCTCACCTTCCTCAGCTCAGCATGCCCAAGGTTACAAAATTCTGCCACGTCCAGCCCCACCTTGGCCACCAGCCTGTCCCACAGCAGAAACTCAGAAACCAAGAAAAGTCAGGATCGGTTTGAATCTGCAAGGTAGACGCTTTTCTTCACTTTTCGACAGACGTGCCCAGCCATTCACACACTGCTTTGCGACTCGTGGGGCAGCTTCTCTGCTCGTATCATAGTGCAATACATTTGGAATTCAAACAAAAAATTCACACACCAACCTGTCTGCCTTCACCAGCCGCTGTGTATGAATCTGCTCCACCAAACCCAGCAGCTGGCTGCCTTCCACAAATACATGGCGCACTTTGGCCCAAAGAAGCCTGAAGAATTCGTAATAGTAGAAGGGCAGCCCTGGCACGAAAGCCTCGCTGCTGGCCTCCTTGAGCAGCACGTCCTGCTTGTGTTCAACACGATTTCACAATTGTGTTTGTGGAACAGAAGCGCTTGCATTTGTCAACAGCGTCAAATATCATCAGATTGGTGGGATGGCATGAGTGGATCAAATATTCAGCAAACAGTGAAATGAAATCAATAAGATATGGTCTTCTCACATGCATCTATACATGACTAAACGCACGTTCTGATCGATGGTGCTGTGAAAACGCAGTAAGCAATCGTAAGAAAACATAACAGAAGCAAGGGAAAAAGACCATGGTACAATAGAGTAGAAATAAAGGGAAACTCAACGAACGGAAAAGGTGTTACCTGCAAGGTGCCACGCTGCATCCATTGCGGCAGCAGTAGTTCGCAGCGGTCACAGGCGGCAAGGCGGATGGCCAGCCAGAGGGGCACCTCAGTGAGCGTGTCAGGCTGGATGGGTAGCAGACCAGGGATCCCGTGGTCCGCCACCAGCGCATGAGCCTTGATTCTCACCAACTCGTCACCTACATCGTCCATGAGGCTGGGACCGGGGGCACCATCTGTTCCCAATACAAATCAGTGGTGTTAGTCACACAAAGCAGGCAATATGCTATGGCAGTACAACGAATAATGCCACAACACTGACTGGGATGTATGCTGCATCAAGTGTGGGTTTGGGGGGATGGCTGGTGTCAACAGGGGATAAAAGGTCGTTGAGCTCACACATTTGTAAAAAAATGCTACAGTAAGTAACAATTTCTGAGGCGGGCACCGTCTGTACTTGCATTTGCACATGATTCGTCTGCAGAGTGTGAAACTTTGGGGAAGTGAACTGGATTTCAACTCCAAGTACCAATGGAGCACTAGCTGGCAATCGCACAGCACAGGGTCCTAATGCAGGCACACGATGTTCCTGGCACGCACAGCATCCGTATGATGAGTTAACACCAATGGGGGGCAGACATGCCACAATAAACCACCATCGAATACTCATCGCTAACAGCCACATCTGCAGGTGCAGCCGTCAACAAAACATCGCGATTCAGATGGCTCAAGGGTGCTGCAAGGTGCAAGGTGCAAGGTGCAAGGTGCAAGGTGCAAGGTGCAAGGTGCAAGGTGCAAGGTGCAAGGTGCAAGGTGCAAGGTGCAAGGGCCCTTCATTGGCTCTCATAGACAAGGCTAAACAAAGGAAGTGAGTTATTCAGATCACAGGAACAAATAACAAACTGTGTTTTGCTACGATTTCTGGTGCATCAGGGTTCCTGCAGAATGCCGAACTACCATATTTGAGGCTGACCACACATTTGGATATGACCACTTTATAGGATCTTTGCATCGCTGTCCGTTGAGGTTTTGGTTGAACGAGGCCCACAACTCCATTTTAAGAAGGGGTGGATACCAAAACTTTCAAATGTGATGCGGTACTTTGGAATTATCAAAGGATAACTGAAGCAAGGATGATTTGTCTGACACAGGACCACTGAAGAGGACGCTTGAATGCAGTGAAGCGAACGGCCCCAATAACTTGGTACTCTGTGAAGCAGCCATGGGGATCAACAAGAGTGTTGTTCCACAACAGGTTTGTGTTTGGCACAACAGCTGCAGTGCACCACAGCCATCGATGTCCACAGCCACCATTGCACCAAACAACAGCAAAGTGCTGGGGAAAAGTCTGACTGTTCAAAGTGCTAAAGTACTGCAATGGCTGAACATAAGCAGCCTGATCAGTATTAGCAAAGTAATATTGGCAATAGTCCTGGTATTACTTGCAAACTAACGTCAGCATAGCAGTACAGTTCTCAAGTTTGATGGAGCAATTCTCATGCAGGCAACTCTCACCTTCAGGATCAGGGTCAGGTTGTGACCAAAAGGAACTTTCTAGTCCCCCAGTATCGAACCTTTCCATGGCAGAAGTTCCTTCACCCTCAGCGGTGCTGTAGAGGCCTCCTTGTGAGGGCCATCGCAAGCAGCCAGTTGGGCCTGAGGCACAGTCAACCCTTGAAGTGTAGCCTGCATCAAAAGCTCTGCCCGACACATGCAATCTCAAGCCCTCATCGCCTGAACCATTGCAGAGAGCAAGGCACAGATCAGTTCACCCATTGCATGACATCAGTTAAAGCCAGCCAACAGCACTTGTCACTCACAATTCAACACTGACAGGCAACTTTGGACTCCCATGTTTGTGTCACAGTTGTCTGTCCTTTGTGAGCTTCTCAGGCTATTGGAATTGCTTGGGCACTGTGCTCTGTTCAACTGTCAATAACTCAAAACATGAACGATTCCACACAACAAGCCTTTTTTTCGGGGGCTTCACATATCTGATCTCTTTGGGCACAAATGGTGTCAATGCCTGATGTGTCAAGATCCAATGCGGTTGTGGTCCTCTAGGGGTGGGGGATAGACAACTGTTTTTGCTGTTTACCCCTGCTGAAGGAGTTTCAACTGGACATGATAGGACAGCATGCACAAGGCAGCATCAAAAAGACAGCACTGTCGCAATATGGACGGCAGATTGCTCAGGTGCGCTGGTGCCAGCAGCCGCATAACCTTCCATCAAGTTTTGTCAAGCACGCATGCAAGCTTCTAAAGCCGCCATGCAGCAAACAGGACAAGATCCTCAATGCAGATGCCTTGGGGAATGTCAGCATGGGCTTTTGCGACAAGTGCACAGTTGTGCCACCATGAACACCACAACAGGACTGACCAGGGAGCTGGTGGCGATGTTGACTACAGAGCATAGATAATGAGGAATTTCACCAGCACTGGTGGTGTCTTATGGGAAATTGGCTGTGAAGGGAGGACACGTCGCACAACGCCAGCGAAAAATGGCCAACAGTATAGACACAAGTCGGCAGGTATGCCAAGGCAATCTGCATGGTGCCAGTGTGTCCCATGTGGGGCCCTGCTTCCGTTCTTCCCTAAATAGGGTCAACCAAGCTGCTGCCCAGGGACCCAGGGCAAAATACTGCACAGGGATGTACACATGGAGACAATGAGGTTTCACAGGGCTTCATGGTAACGTCTGCATAATCTCCTATCACATGCCAAAGTGTCTCACACGGTTCTTGCTCTCAAGACAGGGGAATCTTCTCATGACACGCTTCTTTCCCAGTGAATGGACAATCATCCTACTTCCAAAACGATGAGTCACCACTCAGTTGTGAGTGCTGACAAGGCACCTAGGCAATACAGGCTCCCAGCAAGAGCTCCCAACATAACAACCCAGGGCAAGGCAATTGGGCAAAACTGGACCAGCGTCTGGGATTCCGTTAGGGCGCCATCAACTAGCACCCATTATCTCCAACACCATTCCTTTCCTTTCCCTTTGACTGCAGTCCACACTCAGCGCGAGTGGAGCGAGCAACCTTGAGTGATCTGGGTGCATGCAACGCATACCACGGATGCACACGTGGCTGACACCGAAGCAGGGCGCCAGGGCACTGGTTTGCCCCCCAGGGTCAAAAACCGGGATTAACATGGATACACCCACTAATGCCTGTGTCAACACCCTGCGCAGGGATTCGTCCCTCCTCGCCCGTGCGCAGTCTTTGCGACCGAGGCGCCAGCGAGAGAGCCGCGCATCGCTGCCACGGGGCGCAGCTCCCCTTAAGGTCCCACTGCCTCCATGCACAAACCAGCTGACCCACCCTGCTCCGCCCAGGCGGTGACGCAGACTCGCGCCGCGCCCCAAACTCCCCCTCGGCACATCGCCACCACCGTCCGGCCGCGCCTCCGAAACATCTCTGCTCACTCCTTCCCAACTTGCATTCCCCTGTTGCCAACGCCCATCGTAAGTTTGCCCTTGGGCCTCCCTGCGGCCGGTTTCCATTCCCCCATCCCCTTCAATACCGGACATACCCTGCGCCCTTCCTTCCGCCCCGCCCACGCTTGCCGAAAGCGCTGATAAACATCATCACTGGCAACACAGCGCTCACTGAGGCGGGCAGTCCCTCCCGACGTTTCATTACCCACGGCCAAAGCTTCGAACCATACCTCGCCGGCTTCCCCCACATTCTCCTCTCCTACCCTCCCCGGCCCAGGTGGACCATGCTGCCCCTTCTCAGGGCTTGAAGTTTCAGATGGGGGCATGGTTGGAGCTCCACCGGCAAGGGAAGGCAACACAACATTTCCCGGCGCTGATCCACGCAGGTAGCAGAATAGACAACAGCTCGGCTCCCAAGCTGCCCTCCCATCCTGCGTCCCCCCGGCGATTCGCCCCAACCTACCGGCGTCTCGCGATGTCGAGGCCTGAGGGGCGTGGGCCCCGCGGCTGACTCCTGCCGCCTCGCTCCAGTCGGCCAGTCGCCCGTCCTGCTCGCCGATGCCCGCCAGCGACTCCGCCAGCGTTTGGGCCATCACTGCGAGGGGCGCGGCGCTGGTCAGGCCAGAAGGCTGGGCTGCGGCCGCTCGGGGTGGGTCCGTCTCCTTTCGGCCGGACGGCAGCACTGTGGCCCCTCTCCTTCCCACGCGGGATTGGGGGGAGTAAGTGGGCATGGGGGGCAGAAGGGTCATTTCAAAACCGACCTACTTTAAAGTACAGTAGGTCGGTAGTTGCGTTCAAGGCCGCAAGTGACGAGCAAGGGCCCAAGTATCCATACCCCTATATTTTGCATTTCCGCAAGCAGCGTGACCCTTGACTTCATTGTGCGGGAATTAAAAAATGGTAAACAATACTAATCCTGATAAAAATACAAAAGAGAAAAACATTGACATGGGCATCAGCAAAATTTGTGTGACAGGCGCATCTCAAGTGTCAAAGCGATTTGGGGCTTAGTCTCCGCGCCCCATTAAAGCCACGCTCGTGCAAAATAGGCAACGCCCTTAATATGTGGCCAAAGGCAAAGCAAAGAATTTGCTTGAAAGTTCACCATAACAATATGGCTAGCCATCACATGCACACTGATGCGAACAAAGAAAGTTGCCTTTCGCTCATTCTCAGAGTGGCCTAATTTGCCCTCCCATAGGGAATAAAGAAAATGTGCGTCTCTTAAGCTTCGGGCTTTCCACTAACACAAAACACCATTTTATTGGCGCAATGCTATTAGCGCCACATATTATATTATATAAGACCACATATTGCAATTGTGTAGTTGGAAAATAATATTATTCTGGTTCTGCAAAAAATGCAATTTCGAGCATCTTGCAACCAAACAAAATTACCAATGTTGGTACCTATTCGCAAAATGGTTTAGTAAACTATTTGTTAATACATGGAGGCTACAAGATGAAATTAAACTTTGCACCCAGTAGCAATATATTTGTAGGGTATGCAAAGCAAGCTAAATCAACAACAAGCTCCAAGGGGCATTACAACAAAAAAAATTGCAATAAATAGATTTAATTAAAGATTGATACAACAAAATTATTAGTGAGTTTCAGTGTTGACCAACAAGACGTATGGGTTGTGGTACTTTGATTAAGATAACGACTTGCCTTCCCATAACCATTGAGAAATATGCTCATTCGCAATAGCCGCTTTCATATATAGAGAAAATTCTTTTTATCAAAATTGCATGGGCTTGGTGAGTTGAATATATTGTGGATGCTAAAAGATCTCTTCAAAAACTAACATAAAACACCAAGTTATGGGATAGAGAATGGGTCACCAAGAATAGCCTTAGCTTAAAGTCCTTATCCAATGTTCTGGTTATTGATGGGGAAATATATCACCAATCTAACGAGTAGAAAGTAGGGGACCTCAAAGTGCGGTAGATATCTACCTTTGCCATAAGGAGCCAATTGTAGTAGATGCTATCTTTTTTGGTAGAGATAAAGAGTGCAATATAAAAATTGACATGAGCACGTCCCCATATAAGTTCACTTAAATGCTATATAGTGACCTAGAAGCTATACCCAAAATCAAGGAATATGGGAGCAGTATTAAAAATGATGATGATGATAATTCATCTGCATTTTTGGTGAAGGGACATCTACATTCAATTTGCTAGGATAGTCAAAGGTAAGACAAAATAAGGTACTATTCTGAGTTATCAGATAAAAGATGGGAAAGATGAGCAAAGCCAATTCTTTTGTGCACGAGCCATGTTGAGTATATGAGGAGACATGTGGGATATGAGAGTCAAGCGGTCATAGGTTAGAACTAAGATCATCATCATCAGGAGTACAATATGATGGACCATAAGGAACAACGAAAAATGGGCAAGTTTAGGGAGCTCCTCACTAATCAACAACATATTGGCAACACCGATGCGGTGACATTTGGGAGGCACTTAAGCCATGCGCACGATGGTTTTCCTCCCGCTGTGTAGTTGTGGACTACTCAAGTGTTTATCTTGTTGTACCCATATTTTTATCTCTTTCTCTCTTCTTAATACCTTCAAAGTTGGCAACCCTTTGAGCACATAGCCCCTTGGGCGTTGTGGTTTGTGGTCCTTCTTGGGCTTTTAAGCTTTGGGCCTTTCCAAGGCTTTGGACTCTTCTCGAGGCCTAGGAGTATCTTTGAATTTGGAGCCCCTAGGCTTGAGGCTTTTCGAATAGACTACGCTCCGAACTACTTTACATGATAGTAATTCTGGTTCATTGTACTCTGATCACGTGTTTTGAGTGAGAATGGTGTCCACACGGTTGCATCTTACCATACAAGTTTCCCGTTCTATACACAACAATTTCCAAAAGCTTTGAAGGTTTTAGAGTAGCTCTTCAGTGGTTAGACGAATTTTCGATGATTTGGGTTGTAGCGCAAGCAACCAACAACAAAGAAGAATTTTCCATTGTAGTGGATGCATAATCTTGGGTGGTTCCAAAGGGTAAGTTTACCTTGAGATATTTGCATAGTACTAGTACCACACTTTCATATTCATTATGTATTATGCATGCTTTAAATTGTATAGATACATTCTCAACAATATCCATTGGCATTCGCCTCCACAAGAATGTTGTGTCATAAAAGAGCTAATAACTTAACATTTCAACCTAACAAAATTAAGCGTCATAGCAATTGATGTTCAATTAATTGTTTGAATATTATTTTAAAATATCATTATAGTGCTCATTTTATTATGATAATTGCGGATATTTTCCCAAGAGAGCGAGTATTGATTTCTACTTTGATATGATGAATATATCTTCCTGATTAACCCATGAATACCAAAAGCATTATTAGTCCTCTGAGCTAGTTATTATAAGATTGTTGGACCTACTTAGGGAACCAAAACGACTAGTTGTACTAACCAATGAGAATTCGTTGTTCATTTAAACAAAAATCAACTTCTGTGCTCCTGGAGCACTGCTCCAATCCATGATCTCGATTTGATGACTTTCTAGCCTTTTACCACCAAAACGTCATATTATTATTAGTAGGCAACTTATTGTTTTCGTTGCTTGGGAAGTCATTTCTACACACACATGTGTATACATGTAACATGCATGGTTACAAACTAAACAATCAGTGCCTACATAGTGGCATAGATAGTGGATCCTTTGATCAGTCACAGGAATGATTATATGTAAAAGATGATATTGTAGTGTAATTATTTGCAAAGGATTTTCCCCATTAGGGTGCTGACAGCACCCTAATCGGTTGCACGATTTGCAACTTCAACAGATGGTTTTGTTCCCTTTGAAGTTTGGCTCTTTTTGGCCTTTGGGGGGTAACAACATTGGAGGCCACTCAAATCCGGTGCCTTGCATAGAGGGTGTTAGGCTTGCCACTGCCAGCAATGGCACATGGTTTAATATACTGAACATAGCTGACAACCATTGCATTGCTCATGTGCTCAAGCCAAACAATGGATTCTTCTTGGCATATTTTTACTAAGACCATAATTGCCATTTTTTCTCAATTTTGTTTATGTGGCCTAACAAATTGACACATAATGGCAAATTGAAAACCACACTCTAGGCGGCACAAAAGACCATTTGTGCCAAGACCGTCGATCTTGCCCTTATCACAATTTTCTAGCAGCCAAATGTAGATAAATACGCAAGGAACTCACTAGAATATGCTTGGAGAACGTTGGCTATTGGAGCCCACCTTTCTTCTAGGATTAGATTTATTGTCCCTAGCTTATGTGCAATATTGCCAAGCAAATCTAGACAAATCCGACAAGTTCATCCTCTATATCAAAGCTAATACTAGAGAGAGCACGTCAAGGAGGCAAGGTCACAATGGCAATTTCCTCTATCAAGCCTTTAAACTAGGTGCTTAAAACCGAAAGGGAGGTTGCCACTATGGAGGAGGATCATGCCATTACCATGGAGGGCGTGGCCCTTATGTCGATTTTGCAATATTTGGGAGTATTTCTAACTCAGTTCTTAGTGATAATATATGAGCTTTAAGAAGCGACTTTGTGCTATTATCAAACTCTTTGCTATTAGAAGTCCTAATAGGAATTATGATATAATATTATATAAATGCTAAGATCATTGCATGTGCATTACAAAGTATTATGCACTTCATCGCCCAGCTGGAAACAAACTACTATTTGGTGAGTTAAGATATTCAAGATATATTTTATGACCAATGCATCAAGGCATAGCCTTCAAATATTTATATTCCATTGTATCTACCCAAGTCCAAGCTTCAATTGGCGGAACTCCCCCAATCTTCATCAAGACACTTTGAGCTTTGGTATAAAGCACTTATGCCAAGAATGTCGTCATCAATAACAAAAGAGGCATTGGGGTTTTGCTAGGATGCACACCCTACCCATACCATCAGCCTCATTTGTAAGACGTTGTTGGGGCCGTTCCAACAAACACAACGATTGCCCAATGAATAGCTTTCATTGAATTGGTATTTGACCAACTTCGCCTTGTTATCAAGAAGAGCAAACATGCTCAACTCTAACACAAATGCTCCTCAATCTAGATCCCTTGATCTGGGGTTGTTTTGGAAACTTGTTGGTGGGTGGTGATTGCTCCCCCATCCTACAAAACTATAGGAAAAGGCATTGATATATTCAGTGCATGACTCAAGACAATCATTGTTTGGGGCGATCATTGATATGTGTTGGTATTTTCTATTGTGCATTGTAACCAAGGTAGGAATATTATAATGGGTGAGTGTAAGTGGAATGTGATAGCACTTTGATGTCCAATCACAACGAAAGGATTATAATATTATATTGCAATGATTGTTGGCGAGTTTTGCAAGGATATGATGGGAATCATTTTTTGAGGAGAATTGCCCTACACTTGCACAACTCATAAGCTTTCGAAAGGATCAAAGATAATTAGGAGAACGGATGGTTGGAGGAAGTGCACATGGGGCCTAACTATTTCCATAGTGGTGTAAAAATTTTGGGAGTCTCTAGTGGAATATAAAGCTATTTTGATTTGTCTTTTATTGATCTTGTGAAGACGTCATTTGAAGAGTGAACACATGCAACTATTTTTGTATTCAATTCAAAATAGAATAGTACCTATGCTTTGCATTTCTCAATATGCATTTGCCTCATAGGAGCTTCAAATCATAGAAATCATTTAAAAGCATTGGAAAAGGCGGAATTGATTGGGGAATTTTAATAAATTGAAATATTGCGAATATATAT